AATCACTCATATGATAAGCTCCGCTCGACAAAGTCGACAGCGGAGCTAAAAAGTTACTGTGACTTAAGTCCATGTCGATAAATTTCCCCTGCCACATAATACCCTGATTTTTGTTTACTCACAAATTAAATTTGTTTTTTGGGACAAAGTTTAAACTATACTATCTTTTACTGTAAATAATAAAAACAACTTGTGTTGCTTTAAAAGGGTGCACTTAGTTCTATTTAAGCAAGGTTAATTTACATATGATCATTCATACTTTACCAGTCACACTTTTAGAAGAGAGCAGGTAACTACAAGACAATTGCACCAAACAATACATATAACACTTAACCAGTAGCTTTGAAACAATAATACGGTACATACAAACAATCAAGTTATCCTCCATTGATATGCAAATCAGTCATAACTATTCTACAATTTTATAGCAGGTACACCCATGACTTATAATTACCTGTCTAGTGAGCAGGCCTTCAAACTCTTCAACAACTTCTCTTAGACTCAAATAACTCAATCCAGGTATGTAACTAAGTAAATTTGCCATAAAATATAATAATTTCAAATCTCTAGAAACATTTCTATACACTCCTGGATGGACAACCTATAATAATCAGATAAAAATAATAAACAGATTATAGGCATTGTTTTTTATGTCAGAAAAGCAGAGTATGGCAATATAAAACATCACTATGCAAAATATGGAATATGCAACATATTGCGCTAATAACTGTAAGCCAAATAAAAGTATTATACCAGATGTGTGTATGTCTTAATTGGAAGTGGGGACAATTATTCCAGCCTGTTCAACTTCAAGGGAATGATCAATGAAAATGGAAGATAAATATTTTTAGAACATTCCCTAAAATTAGCAATGAGCATAACGTTATATAATTTGATAGAAAATATTTTTTCAGAACAAAAATTAAATTTGCCAATCCTTTTGTTGCTAGCATATGGGCTCTGTAATATAATCACTTTCTCCTAAGAGTTCAAGGTAAAATGCAGAAATGATAATCGGCTGAGCATTATCCACATATGAAAATCATTGTAGCGAAAACAGAGAACACAGACTTTCCCAGCATAGTCAGCACACAGTATAATGGTCAGCCAAACAACAATCAGTCAGTATTTATCACAATACTCCCATGGTATTTTTTCAAGGACAGGAAAGAATGAATTTTGTTGGAAAATTTCCAAAATAAATATAAACCATTAAGTATTAGTATTCCACTCGATATTTACTTATCCAATATTACTTTTTTGTAGATACAAAACATGTACCTTAATAGCAACTGGAATCAATCCATCTAAGTCATCTTCATCCAATATGAAATCTATTTAAATACAATAAGGATAGCATTTGAATAGGTAAACCTTGACATGTTTATCAACAACACAGCCCTGACATTTAACAGGGCATGACCTTCAACTCAAGTGACAATGTGTAGTATAGTGAATATAGCTTTTTGCAGCTTAACATATCACGTAAACAACACATGAAATCATGTAGAAACATGTATGGTACCAATTTACAATGGAAGATTGGGATTGGTGTTAAAACATCTGTTTCATCATTTTTAAAGCCTCTTAAATATTACGTAGTTGTTTTTTTGTTTATAGTCAGTTCTTCATACATAAATATTTAGAAATTTACTTCCACAGAAAGGATTGCAAATACAACATGATACCTAGGGGTTATAAGTTCCCTAACATTAAACAAACAAACGGTAGAGTGCACACATTATTTTCATTAAATCTTGCAGCACCATCAAGTTCAGTTAGCCACTGTTTATTATCAGACATTTTTCCTATACTCATCTTTAATAAGTAATTGCCCTTTATTTTGAATTTTATTTTTCCCAATATATTTATTGTTATTTATATTTTATTTCTTACTATTATCACTTTTCGGTTTATCTTGTAGATCATTTGACTGGTCACTTCTTTCCTGTGGATTAAAACTATTCTCATCCGCCAACAATTTTTCTTTCTTCTTGACTTTTCTATCTTTCTCTGCTCGATCCAGTTCTTTGTCACGGGCACCAAACATTCGACCAAATCCAAGAACCTCCAGTCCTATAAGATAGGTTTAAAGAAACTTTACTGTTCAGTTTTTTTACTATACACCAGTGTATATAATTAAACTAAATGCTATTACATAAATGTACTTATAAACTTATGATCAAATTATGTAAACTACCAATTTTATTAAAATTATTTTTTCAACAACAAAAAATAATGGACATTTCCATGAAAATATTCAAGAATGCAATGAAATTGCCCACAGGTGCTATAAAAGAATGGCCTTGGCATATCACTTGTTATCAGCTATGCAGCTTATTTAATGCTCTAGGGAAATGGGCAATTGCTATTTAAGCATATGAAAATCAAATTCTGATACAGTGAACTAGGGAATGAGGCTGGAACACAACAACAAATCAGGATACTAAGAAAAAACTATTACTGCTAGTTAATATTGTATAAGAATATAATAGTAAAATCAAAGAAAGTTTAGAAAAAAATGTGTATGTACTGAGGGGTATGGAAGGCTTTGGGTAGAAATTAAGTATAATACAGTGGCCCCTCGCTAAGTCGCGGGTGTTGGGATCCAAGCAAAAACCGTGACTTATCGAGGGCCGCGACTTACCGAGGGACGTCGTGAAAGAGGGAGGTCGTGCATTGAAAAACATATAAAAAGCACATATAAACCCTCGGTTTAGTTAATTGATGTATCATCACATGTGTCAGGCAGTATTCGAATAAAATCATGATTATGTTTGCTGTAATCATTGCGTTGATTATTTTGTTTGTGTCTGATATTATGTGGGCCGCTTGCTGTTGCTTGCGACTTCTACGGTAACAGCTTCCAAAATAAACCAGTTTCATCGCAATTATAAACATGTTCGTCAAAATAACCACCTTCATAGATAATTTCTCTCAGTTTTTCGGGAAAAGTTCTGACAGCGTCAAAACAACAATAGAAATTTTGGGAGCCATCCAAGTACCCGCGACTTAGCCGAATCGCGACTTACCGAGGCGCGACTTAGCGAGGGGCCACTGTAATTACAAACATATCATTGATTAATTATATCTTTGCTGTTTAAAATCATCACAAAAAAAAGACATTTCATGCAGAATCTTGCACATAAATTACAATCAGAGCTCTCATTCAATTAATTTCACCGTGCTTTCTAGTAACTGTGATTTCAGGCTAGTTATGCAAATGTCATTTGTTTAATTTCTTCACAATTATGCAAGTTGTACCTCCTCCAAGACTAAAGCTCAGCTTGAAGCCAGCCTCAGATTCCAGCCTCAGACACTCAGAAAAGATAACTGACAATAATCTAAAAATATATCTTGGTATTTTTTGATATGCAGCATTTAAGCGTCATCTGACAACAGGGAGTCAGAGCTGTGAGATCCGTTAGAGGATACATAATTTTTTCGACTGGTTCAAATTCATTTGACATTTCTTTGGTATAAGGCTGGCATCTGAGACCATATTGGTTCCTCAGTGTGCAACTTTGAAAACCAACCTTCAAAAAAATCAGGTGCATCAGAATCATCAATTTCTTCTAGAATTTCTTCAACTAGGTGCTCATCAGGAATACTGTCAGGTTTCATATATGCCTTGTATACTTGCCCTATACACCCAGATCTAACAGCCTGTCTTTTATTATCAATCTTCACAAATATATCTCTCCATTTGTTTCCAAATGATTTCTCTAATTTCTTCTTAGTGAAAAACCATGAGTGTGGTGGGGCATTGTTGTGCAGTTTGGAGAAGCAATCACAGAATTCTTGCGAAAAGAGATCACGACGTGTGCTTGACCACTGGCCTAATTTGATAAAAGTAGGGCCAGAACATTCCACAGCAAAGAGTAGGTAGCGCAACCATTTTTGTTTAAAACTGGGAAAAACTAAAGTCCAAGGAAATATGCAGTACAGAGGCAAAAATGTTAGAAGCAATCGTAGGAAACGCATACACAGAGTTAGGTATTTATAAAGACTCCTGTATGTTTTTGTAATTATATTTCTTTTTGTTTTGGCAACTTTATTTGTCTTGATTATAGTTTGGCCATTGCAAAATGCAGAATTAGTATCTGAATATCTTTTAATTGACAAGGAGAGGGTCAATGCTGTACATGTCAACGTGATAGCAAACTGTGAATTCTTCCTAAATGCTTGCTGGTTTCCATGGATAGCTCCGGGAAAGGAAAAATAACTTCTAAACTTGGCAGCCCTAAATAGCTTCCATGGCTGCGTAACTTTGTGAAATGACCGACCTAACAGTAATATACTTTGATATGCCATGATATACATCTATCAAAGTATGTAGATTAATCATTAACTAAATCCTTCCTCATTGAATACTATATTAATATCTGTCCATGCACAAACAAAATAATATCTCATTTTCTTGCAAGAAGACTTCTTTATGTCATTTCTCTGAACTCCTGAAAAACAATTATGAAGTGAATTAAAATTTAAAAAGGTACAAAATATTAGGTTGAAATTAGAAAGCATTAAAAACAAATAAAAAACAGTTTTTTATCATAGTATTTGCTCTATTAAAACAACATCTCTAATAGAAGCACATGTAAACCAAAAGTTCCATTTGTATAGTGAATTTGAAATATCATATCTATCATAAAAATATTTCTGTAATTTACATAAAAAGCATATACTACTAATAGAGCAAATACTGTAGCAATGTCAATATATCATTACTCTAATAATAAATCCACAATAATGAGGGTTTATTTTATATTAGCTATTAAATGGTGTATTTTAATTTTGCTTATAAAAACTCAATTCAGGTAATTTATTTTAACTGATTTTGTCATAAACCACATGTAACTATAGAAAAAACATTTTTATCATTGAATTTAATTTTTGCTGATATATACTTCATTAGTAAAATTAAATACCTTCAAGTAATAATAATAACAAAAAAAACAGCATGTTAATTAGGTAAATAGTTTTTGGAAAAATGTGATGGTTAGATGAAATAGAAAATGAACATAGATTTAAATTAAGCAATAAGAACTAAGATATTGAATAAAGTACAATAGAAGAAATACTAAAAATACAAAAAAAAAATCCAAGGTCAACCAGCTAAAAAAAAAACCAGAATCAAAAATAGCTGTACATAATGGATTTTTTTCAAGGGCGGACATATTTTAATGAGGAAAACACATTTCCGGAACAAACCAGCTGTGGTACTTGTTTATGCTTTAGGGGGGAAAAATCATAATATATTTACAAAATGGAATGGTATAAATAAGTATAATAATTAAATAAATATATATATGAACAATGAGTGAAGGTCGGTGGTTGTACGGCGTTCGAAGTAGACTGAGTGATTGAATTTTAACATGCAAATTGCGATATGACATGTTTAACCCGGCGTGTCCTTGCAGTTCCTTTGTATGTAAACAACTCGTATATTACCCATTGTTCACCGCGGCACTAGTATTTGTAAACATACGACGATTTCAGATTTAAAAGTTGTCATCGTCGTTTCACGAACAAAATACAATGAAATTGACCATTTTTCTGGTGGATTATACATTCGCTTTTTCACTTCAAATAGAATATTCAAAAGAAAAATCCGAAAATTCAGCCTTTTACCGTTTTTTTTCAACAAAAACATGTACCAAAATAACGTCAGCGGAAATTACACCTGCCTGTTTCTCAATGGGTGACCTCTACAGACGGAAAACACATCGCTCTCATTGAAAATCCATGCTTGAATGTTTTCGTTGAACCTTTATGCGTTCCTCGAGCTTCTAGGTCTGAAAACTGCGCCTGCTGTTTTCACAAATCTTCTTTTCTGTGACTTTTTCGCTGTTACGTTGCATGAATGAAAATTTACAACTTTGTGTTCTGGTTATCAACATCCGGGAGTTCACGTGAGCAGAACCACCTAGAATACAATTTATTAGGACTTTGTTTTTAAATACGATTTTTTGAAAGTCGATATTTGATATTGAAAATGAGTCAGAAAAATAGATTAAATATTTATATTAGAAATCCATTTGTTATAAAAAATATATATGAAAGTTTAATATACACAATATACATGAACTCTATGAAATAATTGCCAAATACCTAAGTGGTCATTTCACAATCATCTACTTTCTGGGTAGCCTAATTATCATCACATTCAGATTGTGCATCACATCGGATTCGAATAAGCGACACGAGGTCATCTGCTGTTCCCAATATCATTGCATAATAAATGCATACTAGTTTGTCACCAAATGTAACTTGTGCTTGATTCCTTCCCAGATAGAAATCTAAATGGGGCCCGTTTAGATGCAAAGTTGGCTGTATAGGACAATGCATTGTTGGAAAGGAGTGGCAAAGTTGCGTATACCATAATTTAAACTCGCCTATGGAAATTCAAAATGAGAGGCTGAACAATTTATCAGTATTTTAGTTATCTGGGTGTATGGACTAAGCGGCGTCTTAAACTCACTAAGATTAAACATATTGCCAATATTTGTAACTTTTATTTCTCAGTACTGTAACATATGGAAATATTTTCATTTTGTAATTCATGAAACTGTAATATTAAACTGTATGGGGTATTTAATGAACATTGCTATATAAACTGTATCACAAATTGTGTCAATAAAAGGGTGCATGTAAAACTGCATTGCTGAAATTACTACGTAAATGCTAAGTGGTCTGTGTACAGCGAGGCAGTTTGCACTCATTTGTCCATAAGGTCGCCATAGAGGGCGACTGGTATTAGGGAAAAGAGTTTTTTTGTTGTTGTGTTTTTTATTAATTTAGTTTAATGTGTCGTGTTTTATTCTTCATTCAGTGATCCAGTAAAATGTGTTAATTATTTGATTGTAATTTTCTTCTTTATTAGATTCGTAATTTCATATTATATTTTGAAGCCAGGCTGTTTAGGCTCATGATTGAGGGCTGTATTGTGTGTGTGTGTGTGTGTGTGTGTGTTTATGTGACTTTGGTTGAGTTTGACTTTCCATTATTGTCTGTATTTATATATGTATTTCTGTTAGTAACGAATGATCTTATGGCAGTTCTGGAATAAAAAGAACTTTTGACAGATTTCAACCACCTTATAATACAATAACAGGATGTTATCCTCGGGGGCGGAGCTACGTCACAAGACGTTCCACGTTGCTAAGACGCGCACCACTGTAAGACGCGCTGCTGTGGAACGCCGGTCGAGCCGGTGAAAATTCGAGAAAACAACACAAACTCAACTTTGAAGTAACCCTGAACAACCAAATTTATATATGTTACACACGTAGGGCTAATCTTGTTACACTGTTCAGAGGAGTCTCAACAATCATCCCAAGGTACCGTTTTCTGCGAGTTTTGGGCCTTTGTTTTCACCGCCGCGGGTTGCCAGGCGGTGAAAATGCCCGGATGTCCGCCCCCGAGAATACATTTTAACTCCCTGAATATACAATTGCAGAATAATATGAAGTAGTTTCGTTATAAGTTTTTTTTTTTGCTTGATAACAAAGTCTGAGAAGATACCCATAATGCTTGTCGGCTTGCCAGTGTTGTAAAATGACAACGTAGAGGGCGTTTAGTTCGGGACACTCAGCCGTTCGCGTACATTTCGTTGTTGTCTGCACTGAGGGTCTAGACTGAGTAAAATCTTTCTCCAATTAGCTGGTGGTCCGTACCAAGCTTCCCACACGTTTTTTTATTTGCGGACTATCGTTTTTTCACCTCTTAGCCTGCGCAAAAGAACTATGCTGGCTAGGCGCAAATGCAGCTGACTGAGTTAAAAATACACTAAAAAGCGTGTTTTTAATTTATATTAATACGAAGTTGGTAACATGTACATGATTTCGAAATATTTAAAGGTATTTTAACACGAAGCTCCTCCACGAATAACGTCCACGGGAGATTTTTATTCCAGTCTCACCTGGTAATGACACAATTTTCGGATGAAAATTCATGTTGTGACAATATCTTTAATTCTCTAGTTTAGGGAATATTATTGTCACTTTTTGTAAAAAAAAAATACTGTATTATTTTTTTTCAATTTTTTTAGAACTATCAGCAATCACATTTGTTCATATTGTGACAATCTCGTTAAATTAAAAAAAAAATGCAACAGATTTGTTCATTTTATGATAAAATAGTTATTTCCCTATTTGCAGCAAATATTATTGTCATTTTTGATGAAAAAACTATTTTCGTTCAACTTATTCTTTAACACTAATAGCCTGAATGCTCTGATACTTTTGGTGAGAAATGATACATAGTTTTGGTTGGGTTCAAGTTGTATGCGATTGAAATGCTTGTTCCAATGGATCGTCGACGCAGTCAGACACTAATATAGGTCATACATTGATATAGATACAGTTTCGAAGGCCTTTTAATATTGCGAAACATTGCAATCGGAAATCTATAATAACCATCCATGCATTTTCTACAAGTGACACTTACCCTGCCATCATTTTTGTTTTATTCAATACCCGGGGGGGGGGAGTTACTTATCTGGATTTCGGGTGAAAGATCAATGCTGTGAGCGCTAAATGTTTATAAAATGACCGATAATCTTAAGATTAGCGCTAAAAAAGTTCAGCTCCGCCGTAAAAGTGGGAGTCAAACCAGTGGCGCATACCCGTATATTTCAAATATGGCAGTAACCCTCAGTTTTAATATTAGTATGGACACCTCAATATACAGTAATCAACATGAGGTGGACACTTTCCCGCTTGCACAATGATGATGGGGTGCATGAAACTCACGAACATGCGATGTACACACCATGATTAGTACGCCATTCAAGGTTAGTCACGTTGGCTATTTACCAACAATAAAGATGGACTATAATTTGCTATGCATCACGATTACTTGAATATAAACCAGTGTGATTGGTTCAGGTTTGGTGCAGTGCAACGCTTAATGAATGGAATATAACCAGTGTGCCACAGTCCAGGTTGAGGGCAGTGTTACGCTTATGAATTCGTAGTGTAGCAGAACAGGTTCCGGGTAATAAATTAATCACGAGTATCATATTCTTGGTGATAAAACAAATGTAACCTTGTTATGTGGTGCTGTAACATTAATTAAACATTAATGCTATAAAACAGCAATACCCTCAGAACTAAAGGAAGCAAGGAGTGCCAAATGTGGCGTTTAAGCCCGTAACACTGTATGCCGCAGCTTGCCGCAATTATCATGATGGTTGCGACAACAAATGCGAATTCCTATTACAGTGCTCCACATATATACTAATTTCAATTACTCATTTTATATTCTTTGAGAGCATAGATTATTTTATGTTCTTCTTAGGGTAGTAGCGGTGGTGCACAAATTATACAACAAACGGCGCGAACCCCTTCAAACACCAACTTATGGTATTACATGTCAATTGCATGGAAATGACTCAAACTAAGCCAAAATAATGCGGACCCATTATGCATGACATAGTTTATTTACATAATTATGCTTGTTGGGTCACACACGTGCGTAATACGTGTATTTTGTTGCAGTACTATTATAATAAACGTGAACATTTTTTACGTTAATTTGTTTAAAGCGCGGTGGTCGTCGCGCTGCGCATGTGCGACATTTGTGTTGATAAACATTGATTTTCCCACAATCCAATGCGCCCTCCAAATAAAAATCACAAGTATGAGGTTTGACCTGGGCGCGGCTTGCACTGAATACCGCCGGTGACTCCTTCGATACCTTCCAATCACCTAAAAATTACCCAACTAAAGCTTGGAAACGTCTCAGTTTGTACTCGTCAATCTGCCAAACAGTCAAAGTCGCCATCTTTGTTTATATGAGACCCATATATCTCGCGCACGCGTGGCGCGACGACTACCGCCCTTTAACCATAATTTTATTTGGCCGTGCAACCTTTTGTTTTTACTGAAAACGAAATGAAAATCGGGCTAATGGTAATATTGGTCTGTTAAACATGTGTGGGTCTTATTGTGAACAAAAACACGTGACTGCTGGTACTTTCTAGATTTCACCATATCTAACCACATAACGTATTACTGGACTAGGAATGGCTGATGAGTGTGCATACTTACATATACCCTTGAAATTGTCAAACTTATCAAGTGCATTCGTAAAATACACATATTCGCTTTAAATAATGTAGTGCATTTAGTATTGGACATTGTTTTTGTTTTGTTATCAAAATCTATTTATTAGAGCAGTGTGACATAGCAAATACAATACATGATGTATTACAATTGTAAAGAAACCTCTCGTATTATTTTGCCATGTTAATTTCACATTCATTCCATCAATTGTGCATTACATCCGTAATTTGTTATTTCCAGTAAATAATCACCCAGTCCAGGTGAGTCAGGAACGAAACGCTCGCTGCCATGATAAAAGGGAGCATTCTAAGTTCAACATTGAGCATATATATGTTAATTTGGGTGTCATTGTTCAGTCTGATATTGCATTCATTTAAAATATTTTCTGACATCTGGGTGTGGATAGTAAATTACAAAATACTAGTATCAGATTCGGCGATATTGTTTGTAATGGATGAGAATTTGATAAAAAATTACAATCCGAATGTGAAAATAATTCTACGCACAAGGATGATGAATTAACATGTGTACGCACGCGTGGTGTGTACGTGAAAAACCGTCTGAAAGCAGATCGACCGCGGACGTTGACCGTAGACATGCGCACTTCTGAGTTTAGCTGACGGTAATTGGTTTGTTTTTTCAAGTCGTATTTGTGATTTACGATATTTTCACTATTCCACGAACAGTAAAATTAGTAGTTCAACGAACTCTTTCACTACCAGCGTTCATGGAATGTTTGGAACTGCACGGCGATAGAATATCAGTCACAATCGGTCATCAGTATCATGTCTGTCATTCTGGAATAATTTACAATTGAGTACACACATTTGGAAATTATACCATTAAATTAAAACATACAACGGGATAATGTTCGGAATGCAATGTATGATCGGTCGACTATTGTCCTGTTCAAAATACACACGATGCACCTCGACTGTGTTCAGAAAACCAGTGATTGTGACCACTGAAATTCAACACCGCACCACTCAGACGCAGCATAAAGAGGACGCCCTTACGACTGCAGATGAAAGGCTTGTCCAAAGACTGTACGAAGGTGTTGTGGCGAAAAAAAGAGCCAGCCTTGCTGAAGCCATAACTCTGGTAGAATCAGTCAGTCGAAAAAAACGTGCACTGGCCGAAGTTCTTCTTACTGATATATTGGGATATCTTAGGAAAAAAGAACAACAAAATGACGGAAAGCCAACTTCCTTCCGAGCAGGTAATTTAATGACACTGACAGCTTGAGTGTGGATAAGTATAAGGGCTTAAATGTAATTATGATCAAGGGTTGATAAGATGGGGGCATGTAAGCGGTATGATATGCGTTGAAGATGTCATGCAAAGCCACACAAATTGCGAGATGTTCACAAAATATTCACATGCACATGAAATGAGTTTTATGATATCAAAATTGCATACCCCTATAATTATAAATCCTTGTTAATAACAATACAGTGAAAGACAGTAAGCTGTACTATAGTTTTTAAACAGATTTCTAAATGTATTTAAATACCCATCATCAACTTTTTCAAATTTAAATACTGTAGAATACTTTATTTTTGCTTGGACTATTTTTCGCTGGTGGAATGATTCAGTGAAAATAAAATCCAGTAAGTGAAATATATTTTACATTCAAAAAGTCTTTTCAGGGAAAATTAATTCCAGCCAAAATAAAGTATTTTACAGTAGCTCAGCATTGTCTACATCCATATTGCCTTCATGTGACATAGCAACTCTGCCTGCCCACTCATTCTAAATGAGGGTGCTTGTTCATCATATAAGATTGGTATTAGAACTCTCAATGATACAGTGAAAGACACAAGGCCGAAGCTTGCTTATAAACATGTTTATAAAAATTACAATAATACGATACATCGCCCCTCCCCCACTTTGTCTATGATTATAGCTAAGAATCTATATCAACATAAGCATTGTCAATTATCTTGAGGAGGTGTGAGGAATCCCGATGTGGCGTAATTTTGACCAGTGATGAATGTCTTTGCTTAGATATAGCTATCAGGTGTTTTTCTAGAAAAAAAACTGCAAGAGGGAGCACTGCAATTCAGCGGCGCCACCAAGTGGGGGAGATAAGGTTCTCCCTACAAGGGTGTGGAGTTTTTGATAATTCTCAGTTAAAATGGAGCAGTCTATGGCTTCCTTGGGGCCAAAATTACTATCAGACAGGTCACAGTTGAAGACTGTGGCCGTGATCCCTGGTCAATCAGAATTTTATGGTTGCCAGAGGATCTGCTCCCCAGGGTGAGGGGGCACATGGCCAAGGCATGAGGGCGCTGCATCCCTGTTCCCTTGTTTAAAAAAATTCCTGGCAATGCTTAGGACTCCTGTAGGCATTACATGTGGGAAATCTCTTGTGTGGAATATCTCGTAATGTGAATGTGGGGGGAAAGTGATGCACATTGTAATTGTAGTAAAAGGGAGTTAAAAATCTTGTTTCTGTCTGTCATTCAATATTTTACATTATTTCATATCTGTAGAATAGAAAAATGACAGATTTTCACTTAAAAACCTGTATTTGCACTCATTCTAACATTAAGAATTTGTCTTTCTGGGTAAACCATGTCACCAAAATCGATTGAAAATGTTCAAGATTATTGACATCACATTCAAATGCTTTTCGAACATGGCACAATATAACGTGTAGCGAAAATAGAATCCTGTTACTAAATACATACAAGCAGTGCGTGATATCATCAATCTCCGCTACTCTACAGCTGATGCAATTGCCATACAGCTTTTGTGTTTACTTTGCACTATTCCCATGATAACCTTATGGTTCTGTAAATATTTGTCTTGAAAATTCAGTCTACATATCACTAGTATTATTGCAATCATGCAAAAATACAAGGAACATATTTTGTGTAGCAAATTTAGGTGTTGGTGATCTTATAATATATCTATATATTTTTTCCAAATAGGGTTGACAGGGCCACCAGGTGCTGGTAAATCATCCTTTATAGAATGTTTTGGTAAATATTTAACAGGAATGGGTCATAAAGTAGCCGTCCTGGCTGTGGACCCATCATCTTCATCAACTGGCGGTAAGTTGGAAAAAAGTTAGTTAGCCAACAGCAACTCATTGATCCATTGTAAATGCACTTACTGTGAATGTGATGACTTGAGGCTATGACGTTTAGTTTAGTTATTTGCATAATGATATTGATACATTGTATGGAACATCTCGTGAGTATTTAGACTCAGTTCCAGGCCTAGAAGTTGAGCAATAAACATCATAGTTACAAGTGCTCCTCTCGAGTGCTTTATTCTGCTCTCGATTTGGTGATCAATACTCACTTGGTTGACTCTACCTTGAGAAGTCTGTTCTCAGTTTACACTTACCAATGTGCTGTTGAATTGATGACTTCATAATACATGTAATGCAAGAAACTGGTAAACTGAATTCTGGTTGCATTTTCTATATAAATAACCCTTGACTGTGACAAAGTCTTACTTACAATGTCTGAATCAATACCGCTAATAAATTATCCAGGAGACATCACTTTCTCGCATGCACACCTATAAACAATGAATTTCTCTCGTTAATATTGTTTGTAGGATCGTTACTTGGTGATAAAACTAGAATGATAGAATTATCACGTGATATGAATGCTTACATTCGACCCTCACCCACTAGTGGCAATATGGGCGGAGTCACCAGAAGTACCAATGAAGCTATATTGCTATGTGAAGCGGCTGGCTATGACGTTGTACTTGTTGAAACAGTTGGTAAGACTCAAGATATATATTATTATTATACATCTGTCACCGTAACGCCATAAGTTACAGCGTGCCGTAATTTTGCGGTATTTTCATCCTACCATATTAGAAAATGCGAATTCCAAATACGGAATGATTATGTGCGTAAGCGTCCTCTAATAATAAAAACAAACATGGCTGCCACCAGGGTTTGACGGACTCCACACAAAGAAGTTCGCTGATTCTTCTCTAAACTTTTTGGATTTCGGCATTCCCATGATGTGTCCTTGGAAGGAAAAGATGTATAATAATAAGGTTATTACGAAGATACCTCAAAGTATGCACGCCGGTCAATACTTCCGCTGTACTGTCTTCATGCATACTTTGAGATATCCTCATAATAACCTCATATTATTATTACCATTCGGCCATGCTGCACTTCCCAGCTCGAGCTTCTTTGGATTTATTTGTATAGACGTAAAACCGAATAAAGCCAATTGTTTTTTTAACACTCATACCAATTCTGACACATTCTGAGAAACTCAAAAGACAAGATTTTAGTTTATTGTTAACTCCAGTTTGAATGTCACACATCCCATTATGTGGGCATTGAAGAGAAGCATGCAAGGCAATTTATTTATTAGAGATTGATGGGAAATTGACACTGATTTCGCTGCTTGTCTAAATAAAACTAATAACTGGCATTTGCATGAATGATAGTAAAAATGGTTGAGAAACATACACTATTCATGTCAGGGAAAAATAGCGTTGATCTTTGTATAAATTATTAATTCACAGGCGTTGGGCAATCCGAGTACGCTGTTGCTGATATGGTAGATATGTTTGTTTTGTTGATACCCCCTGGTGGCGGAGACGAACTACAAGGCATCAAGAAAGGAATCGTAGAGATGGCCGACCTGATTGTGGTAAACAAAGCCGATGGTGATTTGTACATACCAGCAAAGCAAATACAAACTGAGTATATCAGTGCTGTGAAATTGTTACGTAAGAAATCACGGAATTGGAACCCACAGGTATGTAATAAGAGGTCAACATTCAAGGCAATAGATGGCAGACACATGTGATAGTGGTTTATGGGTCGTTTTACCTTGTTTGGTGCATGTTATTTACATTTTCCGAAATATCATTAATGTCACTTGTGATAAATCAGCTGTGTTAGTTGACATAGTACTTTTGATATACAATACTACTGAACTATATCTCCAGCTTTTTGACATACACATCAAGTAATCAAGTTGAACATTCACTCTTCACAACAGGTGTTAAAAGCATCATCGAAAAAGAAAGACGGGTTACCCGAAGTGTGGGATGTGATGACAGAGTTTTACAAGACCATGGTGACGACTGGCGAGATGAAGAACCGACGTGCTGTGCAACACAAAATATGGATGTGGAACCACATCAAAGACAACATCCTAAAGTTGTTTAAAAATCACCCCGCTGTAAAACCTCAAATAGCCTCACTCGAATCCAAAGTGGCTAAAGCGGTAATAACCCCTGGATTAGCCGCAGACGTTTTGTTGAACGAATTTGTCAAGTCAACTCAGACTGATGACAAGTCTAAAAGTTAATGAAGTAGAAGTTTCCTTCAATTTTTGCATGTCAGTTAATATTATTTTAATAGGTAATGTAACGATAATGAGTTAAACAACATCAATACCACAAATGTGAAAAATCACTTGCTGATGAAATAACAAAATCATGAGTTCTTACAAAATTTAGTTATTATTTTCTGTAATCCAAAAACTAGTCTACATGAGTCTTCTTTTGATCTTCTAAACTATATTTCTTTTCTATGTTCATAATTAGATTTATTCTGATTATATAAAAATCCCATTATTGGTTAACATCACCTACATCATACCAAGCAACTACACAAATTTCATTCAAGTCTCGTAGAATTAGCAACCAAATGAATATCATGTTGCAGATTACATTCTAGTAAGGCACACTTAAATTGCCTGAAGAGAATTTGCATACTCATGTAATTTGAGGCGATGTAAACTGGTGATTGACACATTGGATGTTAATTTATTGTCTGGTTATTGTAACATGTATGTTAATTTAGGAATGGAACATCTTGTTCATCACCAGTCCATAAACTTGTCACTTTTGTCAATTACTGTAGAATACTTTATTTTCGCTTGGAATTTATTTTTCTATTTTCGTTGAAGGGATGAAAATAAAATCCATCAAATATACATTTTTTCCTATATTTCACATTAAACTCATCAAAAATCAGTGAAAATAAATTCCATACAAAATGCCCCAAAAGCCTTTTCAGCGAAAATTAATTCCAGCGAAAATAAAGTATTCCACAGTAAACCAGTGTCAAATGTTGGACTTTTCTTCAAACATTTAGAGCCTATAACCGATGAGTCAATAGTACACAAGTCAAATGTTTTGCTTCTTTGGTACAAACTGTGTATTATTGATGGGCTTTTTGTATTTTTCAGAAATGTGTGATGATCCCCTCAATTTAGGAAAGTCAAAGTTCACTTGTTATTGTGATTTGTATTTTTATCGGCAATGCATGCTTGTCTTTAAATCCATTATACCACTAGACAAATAATATAGCACAGACTGAGATAGTCAGCTCGTTCAGTTGAAGTACAGTGCCAGCTACATGTTTATGTTCAAAGATATGTCTACATGTTTGTTTTTTCTTTAAAATTTCAAAAATAATTAATCAACCTAGATTCAAAATAGTTTCAATCAATACATATTCACACATTGGTTTGTGTGTTCAAATCGTAATTTTAAGCAATTGTAGAATAAGATCAGGCAGATAGTTTGAAGATGTGACAAAAACAACTCTGTAAGCATGAGGTTAAATCTGGTCTCAAGATATGCCATATTTTTACTGAAGGAACTGGTTGGTGCTACTTCAATATGCTTGAATTTTTAGTTGCATAATTACCTACGCAACAAAATTCAAATCTGTAAATGTGCTTAACCATTATAATAATAATTCATGCTGATAATTGCATTTTGACCCCACCAAATTTTTGGTGGACAAGTACTTTAACTGAAGAGCTACTGATTTGACATGGCCATCACACCAAGATGCATAAAGAAGACCTTCCCAAAATACCATGCATGACTAGTCCCCTTGGTATCGCTAAGTTGTCTGGCTAGTCCCTCTGTCTTGATCACATTATATTTCAAAAACTTGAATCAAATGTTCCACTTTTATTTCAGCAGGAAATACCAATATATATAACTGATGTTAGTTCGAAATGTTCGCTGAACTTTCAAAATATCAATGTTTCAGTCAATGTGTATGAATATCCAGAATATTCAACAAATTCTATTGAAATATTCAGCAGTCAAGTGGCATTATTTACACAAAATATCGTACTGATTGTTGCATTAGATATATAATAATTTTATTATATTAATACTGTTTATATTTTTTTAATTTGAAAGGCCTGTGATTGGCTGAATCTGTCTGCATTTACTTGTTAGCATGACAAATGAGAGACTAGACTGAAAAATGAAGAGATTAAGTGTTATCCCAGAGTCATCTGATAAAAGTCCTTAATTTCAAGATAGAAATCTTATTTACAACTTGTGTGTGCACAAGTCTTGATAATCAAATTAATATTGATGCCGACACAAATTTAGATGTACATCTTCTCAACCAAATTAGAAAAACTGTGCAATAATTTATCCAGATATTACACAATCATAATTAATTCCCTTAATAAATTTAACTTCATTTTAGAGTCCTTATACTGCTGAATGGAATTGGAAGAGTTGCTGGATCAACGTTATTGACGAGTTCCCAATATGCCAATTTAAATTACAATATAGTAAAGTCATGTTTGTGGGGCCACTTTGTGTGTGTGTGTGTGTGTGTGTGAGGGGGCACATAATGCCAATGATTTGTCTTTAATAGACCATTTTTTCGTTCACTGCGAGAACACGTGTCATGCATGAAATTGCGTTGTAGTGACGTCATGTGGGACAAAAAAATCACCTATTGCAGTGATGTCAACTAAGTCTAGAAAAAAAAGAAAATGCACCTCGCGTTTTTTCTGCTATTTTGCATACTTACCGTGAAGTGTGCCACACAACGTAGAATGGTAAAATATTTGTTTTAAAGGATGTTTTGTCTTTCTAAACTCTTTAATGCCTTTATTTAATAAATGTTGAAGATCTCTTGCTGTTGCGATATAGAATAGTC